TATATATATATAGATAGATAGATAGATAGATAGATAGATAGACAGAGGGAAAGGTAGAGAGACACAGAGAGAAGTTGACAGAGAGAGTTCGAGAGAGAGAGAGAGACTCAGAGACTCAGAGCCTCAACCACCTTTCGATCCATCAATGGGTTCGCTCTGCCATCCATGCATCACAAAAACTCACTTGTCCTATAGTTTCCTATCTTTGAAACTTCCGCCAACGCCTTGTGCGGTTTTACTGGTAGATGATTTAGATGATTTACCCTCTGGTTATGTAACGTAGCTATGGAAAGTCACATTTTTAAAATCAGAAATCATCTATACTTCGGTCATTTTCCATAGCTGTGTCAAATAACCAGAGGGTACCTATAGAAAATGGTGATTACCCGTGTCATGTGTGTGGCAGATATCGTCTCTATGTCCAGCTCCAGGTTATTGTCAGAGGTGGTGCCGCGACTTCTATTTTTATGATCTGCAGACAGAGGGCTTCTATACATTGTTTCCACACATATCTACATGCATGTATATATATATACATACAGGATTTCATGATGTATATAGATATTACACATCATGCACAAGAAACATACATGCATATGTATATACACACCTACATACACACAATGTATGCATTGCAATATATATACATATAAATATACACGTACATACATTTATCGATCGATAGATAGATATATTTTTACACAAAGATACACAAAGTATATATACTTATATTTAAATATATCGATATATATATATATAAATATAAATATATATATTTACATGTATATAAATATATCTAAATATAAATATATATGTATTGTATATATACATATATATATATACACATTGTATATATACATGCATATCACATATCTCACCATAAAGGGCTCACTTGTGAACCTCCCTGGCAGAGCAATAACCTGGACCCAGACTGACCCAGGAGGTGAAACCCGAGGCTACCGAGGACCAAGCAGACGACTTGGAGGCGGACGTAGGTTTTCACCCAGATTTTCATACAACAAGTGCAAATGTTGATGCTATATATCTATACCTAGATATTATATATGCACGATAATATACGTATATATATATACATACACGCACAATGCAACAATAACTGTATATATATATATATTTATATAATAAATACATGATGTTCACATAGGATAGCATTTGCATGCCATGAATGGGTTGCTTGATACCACACCGAATTCACGTTTTTGATCTAGACAGCGGATATGGATACCTTCGATCCAGAGTCACATTGTCATCCCATCCTTTCACAGTTTTTGACACTTCTCATCAACTTCAGATTGCTGCATGTCGTGGCGTAACAATTGTGTCACCCAACGTTGCTGAGGAAAACACTTTGGTTCCATTTGTTGTAGTCATTCGCTTGGCCGTTTCCCAGTTGGTTCTTCTTTGTGTTAACCTTGAGGGGCCTGGCGGCCTGTGTGTCGGAGTCCACTGCCATGGCTGGGAGTTGATGAGACTGATCATTGATTTCTTGGAGTCAACCCCACTGATCCGTCTGTTGTTGTTGTTGTTGTTGTTGTTGTTGTTGTTGTTGGAAACTCCCTCCGCTGGACACCGCGTGCCGCGCATTGAGGTGAAGTCCACTGTTGTTGTCCATCCATGGCCTTGTGGTGTCCATAAAGTCCATTGCCGGTCAATTCCCACTGTTTTATAGCATGTGAAACATAGGTTTTTCCAACCTACTAGCACCATCTCGGTGACCCCCTTTTTTAAGAGATGGTTAAGATTCGCCTTGTAATCATGGTTGTTTGGTGGTTAATAAACCCAAACCACTCATTGATCATGGTTGTGACTTTAACACCCACCAGGAATAACTTTATATACCATCAACTTTATATACCATTTTGGTTAATGAGTGGTATATATCTCATGAGTTGTTACACTTCTTGATCAAACCACTTTATATATCTCATTAACCCCTTCCCCCATCGATATTAAAGTTATTTAACATCCACCAGGAAACCATGGTAGGGGATTTCCACATATTTGCGACCATGAAACGGGGGTGTTTAATATAGGGGGGAACTTATTATATCATGATCATTTTACCCGGTTGAATGTGTCTGTATGTGCATATATATATGTGAATACTATTGAATGTACATGTATACAGTATACACTATATACACACTATACACTATAAGTATGTTTTTTTCCTCTGGCAGAATGAAACTGTAATCAGCTTCGGCCTTGCTTCTGAATTCGGTTGACTTACCATGGGCATTCTTGAAACAAACATCAAAACATTTTTTTACATAAACATATATATATAATTATATCCTTGTTTTTTTAGTATAAGCATATATATATATATATATACATATTTATGTTTATATTTTAATATCTATATTTTCATATATATATATATTTATATTTATAGAGCATGTTTTTTCAATTATTGTGATACGACTGAATACCATGATTGAAAAATCCATACCCGTGCGATGGTTACCACAATCGGCAGGTCGAGGCCGCGACGTCCCGCGTGGCGTCGCCCGAGCCGCCAGCTGTGGCGGTGGCGGTGCCGGTGGCGGAGCCTGCAGAGCCTGCACAGGAGGCGGTGCTGGGCTACAGTTGGGGTTAGCAAGCCTAACTATGGTGTAACGATGGTATAACATCGTGATGAATGGAGGTTTATAGCTGGGAAAACATAGGCATTTTTTTGGGAAAATATGGCTCCCCCTGGATTGGACACTCCCCTATTGGTTTATAAACCCATCTAACTGGGATTATCATGGGATATGTCATAGTGATACAACCACCAATAGGATAATTATGGATAATTGGGATCTAAAATCAACCATAGCTAGGATAAGAATGGTATAAGTATGGTATATCTATAGTTAATGAGTTGGGGCATGTGCTTCACCAACCCTAACTATGGTATAACTATGGCATGATTGGGTTGGTAATGGATAATCATGAATAATTAGTGGGACATGGGATTATAGTTGGTTAATGACGTTTGTTACTTTATAGACCCATCTAACAGGGATTGTAACGGAGAACGTTTCATAGTGATATGACCAATAGTATGGTGCCCCCAACTATGGTAGACATAACTATGCTATCGCTGGGACTGATGGTATAACTATGGTATATCGGTATACGGTATATCTATAGTTGAGCCACAAAAAAATTCAATAGATTGTTTTAATTAGGGAGTTGTCCTACAGCAGTTTCGCGAAAGGAAAACGCTGGGTCGCGAAAGATCTTGAAAGTAAATTTGTTCCGCGAAAGGTCGCGAAAGCTCATGTTCTGTTTTTGTTTTGGATTATTACGTGTTGGCCTTTGTCTGTGAATGTTTGGAACAAAATAAATTGGGAGAATGACTATGCGAAACAATCTTGAGTTCATGCATGCTATATAGCCAATCTAGTGGAATGAAGGGTATCAGGACGTTGTTACAATAGATAAATGATATATGAGCTACAGCCAGAATTTACCGTAATGGAAAGTAAGTAGTATTCGAGACATCTTTATTTTTTGGAAATTGAGCTGGGGCTTGGAAAACGATAATGCACTCTTCAAAAAATGACAACATTTGCCACATTTCCAAAACCTGAAAAACGATGATACACTCTTCAAAAATTGATTACTTGGAACTATATACTATATATTGACCATGACCCATAAATATCTATGTATATGTACATATACTATATGTATGTGTATGTGTACGTGTATGTGTATATGTATATGTATATGTATATATATATGTATATGTATATATATATGTATATGTAAATATATATATATAAATATGTATATGCATAAATATATATGTATATGTAAATGTATATGGATATGTTTATGTAAATATATGTATATGTATTTGAATACATATGTAGATGTTTTTGTATATATATATATGTATGTATATGCATGTAAATATAAATATATGTATCTGTGCATGTAAGCATGTATATGTATATGTATATATATACATGTATATGTAAATGTATATGTATGTGTATATATATGTATATGTATATGTATATATATATATATGTATGTATATGTATATGTAAATGTATATGTAAATGTCAATGTATAAATATATATAAATGTATGTATATGTATATGTAAATATATATATATGTTTATGTATATATGTATATATATGTATGTGTATGTATTTGTATATGTATATGTATATCTATATATGTATATGTATATGTATATATATATGTATATGTATATGTATATGTATATATATATATATGTATATGTATGTATATATATATGTATATGTATATGTATATGTATTTGAATATGAATATGAATATGAATATGAATCATATATATGTATATGTATATGTATATCTATATATGTATATGTATATGTATATATATGTAAATATATATATATACAAATGTAAATGTATATATATATGTATATGTATATGTATATGTCAATGTATATGTATACATATATGTATATGTATATGTATATGTAGATGTATATATATATATGTATATATATATGTATATATGTATATATGTATATATGTATATATATATATATATGTATATATATATGTATATATATGTATATGAATATGTATATTTATATGTATATGTTAAAGTATTCCTAATTTTCAACATGGGTTAAGGGATTCGGGTAGTACTTCTAGGCTTCGGGTTTGTCATGGTTTGTCTTTTGAGATTCCAGCGGCAGTTTCTGCGTCAGGTCGTTTGGGTTGGGGGTTTCCATGGGCTTATCCAAATAGCTGGTTGATTTCATGAACAACCCCATGCTAAAATGGATGAGAACTGGGGGTAACCCCATGGATTGGAAACCAATTTTTTTTTTATATGGATATTAAAACACTCACAATATACTGATGATTCCTCCAATGACTTCCGAAGAAACCTCCAATGCTACTGGATGATTCCTCCACAGCCAGCTGTGGCATCACGGATCCAGCAGGTCGAGCCGCCAGCCGTGCCGCTGGCGGAGCCTGCGGTGCCGGAGCCTGCAGTGCCGGCGCCTGCAGAGCCTGCACAGGCAGCACAGGCGGTGCTGGGCTACAGTGGTTAGCAAGCCTAACTATGGTGTAACGAAGGTATAACATTGGTTTATATTTAGGACTTATGGTATAACTATGGTATATCTATAGTTAATGAGTTGAGGCATTTGCTTTACCAACCCTAACGATGGTATAACTATGGCATCATGGGGTTAGCAATGGATAATGACGTTTGTTACTTTATAACTTCAACTGGGATTGTAACGGGACATTTGATAGTGATACGACCACCAATAGTATGGTGCCCTCAGACATAACTATGCTACCGCTGGGACTGATGGTATAACTATGGTATATCTGTAGTTAATGGGATTTTTTTTGGGGTGGCGTGGGATATTTCATGGTAATAGAACCACTAATATTAGGACAATTATGGATAATTGGGATCTAAAATTAAGGATAACATAACGATGCTTTAACCATGGTATAACTAGGGTTATTATGGGTTATGAATGCCCTAGGACAGTACTTCCCGATGCAGTTGGGGGGTTACTGGGTATATGGGTGATAATTTCATCGAATTTCCCCTGCCAGGTGGGAGATACATTTTGTTGCCACCTGTCGCGACTGGATGTTGACTGCTGGTAGCTATCCAATCATCCCAAAATGACCGAAATTTCAGGTTAGTGAATAATAAACTATCCGTTTTTTTGTGGAATCTGAAGGGTAGTTGGGTACACACACACATATATATATATATATTTACACATTTGGTTATCCCAAACTGTGGCTTTTTAATGGGGAAATTCATGCCGCAGAAACTCAACAATCCCCTATGGGAAGATTCATGTCCAGCCGTCGATCCTTTTGCCAATGTCCTCTTGATTCGCTTTAGTCTGATTGTGTGAGAATCGGGATGCATTGTGGTAAACTAGTGTAAGACTTCAAGATCTATCGCTTACAATCTACCTCTTGAAAGTGGTGTCAATACTTATTGCCATCACTCTTCTACAGTGGATGATTGAGAAATCCTGGCCCCGCGGCCAAACTACGGCAGGATGCACCAATCCAGCCCGCAGAAGACGAGGAGCTGTGTTTTTTTACATGTCTCAAGACACAGGGCCAGGCTTTGTCTTGCTCCGGGTAAGTTATGGGTTTGTCATGCGGTAAAATAAAAACACCCCCAAAACCATCAATTTGGCTGGGGATGGTCAAAACTTGTGAGACTAATTTCTGGTCAAATTGCGGATGGTCCATGCTTTTGGCTTTACCACATTAAGGGGGCATCATCCCCAACATGGTTTACTGTCCGTCTTGGGAATTCTGACTTGCTGTACCAGCCTACAATGTTCCTGCAGTTTCAATGGATCTGGATCATTTATAGCTACCTGGCCTGAGTTGCAATGATGGCGAAATCGTGAACTTGCCATTATATCCATTATTCAGCTTTGGGAATTTTGATTTAGTGAGATTTGTCATGATTTGGAGGTTTCCTCAAATAGGGGTACCCCTAAATCATCCATTTGTAGATGGATTTTCCATGAAATAAACCAACCAGCTATTGGGGATCCCCATTTATGGGAATCCTCATTTCTCCGTTTTTTTTTTCCAGCCACCACTGGGGAAAATTGGGGAAAGCCACCAGGCTATGGCTAATCTCAGGAGGGTTGGACAGCTGTTTCAAAATCTGCTCGCAAGGTGGGACTGAGGGATGCAGGGCCAAAAATTGGGACTTTCCACAAATGGGGATCCCCAATAGCTGGTTGCTTTACAATGGAAAATCCTATTTAAATGGATGAGAACTGGGGGTACCCCTATGACTTAGGAAACCTCCATTTGGGGGGAACAACACGATGAAAAATCGTTGATACTTTGGTGCAATATCTTTGATGACTTTAATCTTGAGTCTCCATCATCCAGAATTGGTAATCCGAGTTTCAGTTCCAAGATCATGAATCGGATGATCATGAATACTGTACATTCCCTGAATTTTACATGGAACTCCAAGTTGCGGTTTTGTCCAATAGGAAAATCATGGCAATTTTCTTGGGATTCCATGTAGATCTGGTTAACTGAAGCAGTTCCAGAGGGCTTAACTGGACGGGTGCAAGGCTGACAAGAAAGCCAAGGTGCCGTGCAGACCGATCTGGGGAAGAAATCCTGCGAAAGTTGCTGCTTTATTCCACTATTTTTAGGGTTTCAAGCATCCAAAATTGGTGGTGCAGAATTTCGCTGGCCCATCCACAACATGACTCAAAATCATCCCCAAACTTCCAACGGTGAAGGGATTGACCGGCGGCAGGATGAGCAGGGGAGTAGTGGCCTTTCAGATTTTCGGCCATGACTATGATATCAAACTATGGTAAACGAAAACTTGGTTGATTCATAGGTTTCCAGATGCAACTGTAATCATTTGCAGACCTTCGTATTTCCTTCGTATTTCATCCGTATTTCATCCGTATACGTATGAAATATATATAGATAGAGATATTGCGTTTTTTCTTGGTTCAAACCCACAGTTCGACCCACAGCTTTTTTCTCTGAGGATGATCTCAGAACGCAAAAAGGCAAGTTTTGGGACTGCATTCCATCATAAATTTGCCTGAAACTGGGGTGCCCAACATTCCAATGGTTTGTCATCATGTTCCCTGTCAACACGGCCATGGGGATATTTCTCAATCGACAATCCATTTCTCGACATTATATTCCGTTGTAACGCCCTTAAAACCCATAAACGCACAACTTTACATCTCAAATTCACCATCTATACGTAGTGGTCATAAGCCTCCATAAGTTGGGATATATATATATATGGTTAAGGGCTCAAATTGGGCGTTATTTTTTGCAGTGTTTTTGGGGTTCTCCGCGCAGCGCTGTGTTTTGCGGCGCACGTGCTTGTCATGACAACGATTACCATGGCTCCTTAGCTGGTGATAAAAAAGTCATCACACACCTGCCACGCAAACACAAAAAGGAACCGCCTGCCACTTTGTACTCGTGACGGTCACCACATACCTTCGGTGCAGTGACAAAACTTGAGTACAGTGATCCGCTAACGGCTCATCTTGGCTGCTTTCGTGTCACCCGCCTCCACGGCTAACCAAGTGTTGTAACATGCGGTTTCGTGGCGATTGCGGCAGTCGTCGGGTCGGGCCCACCATCAATTGCTACTTCGTCTGGCAGACGATTCATGGCTTGCGGTACGCAGTGCTCTGAAAAAAAAGTAGTAGGTATGCGCGCTACCTGCAAACTGTAAATACTGTGTGGGTTGTATCTGTAACTGACATTATGTAAGTGTGGTGTGCAGTATGTCTTTGTACGTGTTCTCAGGTCATGGTTCTTGTTTGTGCCACAGAAACACTTGACATCCCTTACTGCATCAACACCGCACGGCCGCCCTCCCGAAATGGCTGCAGAGGCGTGAGAACAACACAGCTTCCACGTCCTCTGGGTCACTACCCATTCAAAATTAAAGTGGTATGCCTATGTGGCTCCGGACTCGTTTCGTGCGATACAAACTATGTAAATGTAGTCAATGTCAAGGTCCTGCCGAGAAGCCTGCCTGGAGAGTAAACATAAATGAGCCTGCATTGTTACATGCCCGTTGCTGTGCTGTTCCGCCAACTTCAGCTCCTGTACTTGTGTCTCCTCCACTTAGTGCAAGACACCATGTTTACAAAACACTGTTGTTGAGAAGAGCCTGCCGAGAAGCCTGCCTTGAGAGTAAACATAAAGGAGCATGCATTGTTACGTGCCTGTTGCTATGCTGTTCTGTCAACTTCAGCTCATGTACTTGTGTCTCCTCCCATTCGTACAGTGCAAGACACCATGTTTACAAAACCCATGAACGCACAACTTTGTATCTCAAATTCACCATCTATACGTAGTGGTCATAAGACTCCATAAGTTGGGATATATGTATGTGTATATATATATATATATGTATAACTACATGCGTATATAACATTATATAAGCCTTACAACGATGGTGAGCTATAAGCCACTTCAATATACGGTTCCACTGCTTCGCCCCAGCAAAAAAGGCGAAACTTCACGAGACGGAGGTCAAGACGGAGGCGCAGCAAAAAAGTACTTGGTGGAGTTTTCCCACTTCGGAAATGGGATAAGTAGAATTAATCCACCTATAACTGGGGTAAAAAAACCCACTTGGAAATTTAATTCCCACTTATTTCACTGGTATAATTGGGGTTATAACCCACTTAGTAAATGGGATAAGTTTTTGAACATGTGATTACTTAGTACTGTCAAATGTCACTTGACGGAAATGGGATCATCTTACCAAGAAATCACATAAACCAGTACTTAGTAAATTGGATAAGTAGAGTTAATAGCCACTGATTTCACTGGGTAGCGCACTTAGTGGCTTAGCTCACGCCAAGTTATTTGGGAGTAGAGTTAAGACCCACTAAAATTTCACAAAAAGTGTGTTTAACTGTTTACCACAAACACGATTTGGGAGGACCCAACAACTAACCTCCCACCTGAAAACATCGGGGAGAATCCCAGGAAATCCATCATTTTCCGAATGGATTTCTCCATTTTTTTCCTACATCTATGTGAACGTTTACCCCAGTGAGTTACTTATCATGAATGTGAAAAAAGCCTAAACAATAGACCTTATACATGGTAGGCAGCTCCAATTTTTAGGTACCTGAAATGGCCATTGATATTAGTTAGCATCCTTGTCACAGCATATTTTGGTTTGGGCTTGAGCATCTGTAAGCCGGTGAGCCTGTGAGTGGCTTCAAGTATTTCTGGTTGGTGGTCTGGAACATTTTTTATTTTCCCCAATAGTTGGGATGATGACTAATATTTTTCAGAGGGGTTCAAACCAGCAACCAGATTTTGTAACTTTGAGACATGTTCCGCCATTCGCCTGGATGATTATTTCCAGAATGAGAGGCGGATTTTCGACTTCGGGTTCAACCGACCAACCAGCCGATGAATGTTTGGCAATTCCAGAATTTCGGAATGCGGAATAGTTACAACATAACTATAAATTATATATAATTCCTGTAAACATATATAAACATCCCATTAGATCTCATAAAAATCCCATTAGATCCCATAAATTCCCACATAAACCTCACATCAATTTCCATATAAATCCCATAATTTCCCAAAAAATACCCATTAGATCCCATATCCGATTGCTTGGATTCGGAGGTGAAGAAAGCTGTGGTCGTGCCGGCGCCACCTCCTCCACCAGACCATGGAAAACGACAAAAGGGGCGACACAAGCCGGAGGCGTGCCGCAAGAAGCTGTTGATTGATCCTTTTAAAGCGCTTACCCTGGACGAATAAACCCTGGAAAAGTTGGATTTCACCAAATGATTTCAGATTTGATTTGCCATTTATACTTGATATACCCTCTGGTAAATTAACATAGACCTTGAAAATAGCCTATTTTTAATGGAAACTAATCTTCAACCCCTATCTGGCAGGGTCTATGTTAATTTACCGGAGGGTACCATAAAAAAGTATGCGATGACTTGACTATTGAAGGAGTACCCCCCTAATTAATAAACCATGGTTTATTAATCCGGGGTTGACATTGAGGGGTTAGCCGCTGGAAAAATTGAGGTTCATAGCTGGGAAAACAAAACATATTCGAACATCTTGATGAACGGAGGTTTATAGCTGGGAAAACATAGGCAAATATGGGAAAATGTGGCTCCCCCTGGATTGGGCACTCCCCTATTGGTTTATAAACCCATCTAACTGGGATTATCATGGGATATGTCATAGTGATACAACCACCAATAGGATAATTATGGATAATTGGGATCTAAAATCAACCATAGCTAGGATAACAATGGTGTCAATGAGTTCGTACATTTGCTTTGCCAACCCTAAATATGGTATAACTATGGTATAATTGCATTGGTAATGGATAATTGTGGATAATTATTGTGACCTGCGACGACAATACTGACTTTGAGATAATTATGGATAATTGGGATCTAAATCAACCAGAACTAGGATATAATGGGTATATACTGGGGATATGAATGGGTTATACTAAGTGGTTTAAGGTTAGTAGATCAATATTCAATAATAATCAACACCTAGTTTGATGGTTCAAAAACATCCCATTTAGTGGGACAGCCTCTGGTAATCAAACATGGCAAGCGAACGAAAATCCCAAAAACACTTACGCAAGTGACTCGTTCGCTGGGAAAATCATCCAAATGGTGGATTTCCCCGCCACGTTTGATGAAAGTGGAGGGTAGTCACTAAGTGGTTTATTGGAGATAACATAGGGATGCTGGCCATTTCAAACACCGGAGGGTATACCTAGTGGTGGATTTCCGGAGGGTATCCCAAGCCATTTCATAGGGATACTGTTTTCAACCAACAGGAAATTCAACGAGATGGGATTGATGGGATGGGGTGATTTGAGATCTGGTTACTGTAAAGCCTCTGATGAAAAGAAACTGGCGACCGAAAACCAAGATTCATAGTATTGCACTAGATGTACCATAAATCCTAGATAGGTATACAGTATAACTATGGTCCTAGATATACCATTATATCTACAATTCACTTTTTTCGATGGCTTGGTTTTGCACCCCCCCGTATTGTTTCATCAAACATGTTCTGGATGGATTGTTGTTTTTGACGGAAGCGCTGTGGGTGATTTGGGAAACAAAAAAAAGTGGGGATGAAACGAAACACAAAAAATGGAAGAACAAACAAAGAGGGTCAAACTATGACAAACCAAATCTGGAAATGAACCAAGTACAGTAAACATGGGATGTAAGCGACACGGATGGGGATGTGCTGCGACCGCCAAGACATGGCAATGAAACCAATAAAATGGATTGAGTTTGCCAAATATGGGGATACGACTTGCTACGACTTGCTTTTCCCTTTTCCATATGCTGGTGGTCTTGCTCTTCACCCACTACAGATGGGGGTTGGAACCAGCTGATTGAATGGCGTACCTTCCTGTGTGGCCGACAAATAATAAGGACATTTATGATTAACCAGTGGATTTCGGAGTACAGTATCTTTAGACACACCCATACATCAACACATTCAACACGTCTATCTATCTCTCTATCTCTCTATCTATCTATCTATCTGTCTATCTGTCTATCTGTCTATCTGTCTATCTGTCTATCTGTCTATCTGTCTATCTGTCTATCTGTCTATCTGTCTATCTGTCTATCTGTCTATCTGTCATTCTGTCTATCTGTCTATCTGTCTATCTGTCTATCTGTCTATCTGTCTATCTGTCTGTCTGTCTGTCTGTCTATCTGTCTATCTGTCTATCTGTCTATCTGTCTATCTGTCTACTGTATCTGTCTATCTGTCTATCTGTCTATCTGTCTCTCTGTCTGTCTGTCTGTCTGTCTATCTGTCTATCTACCTATCTACCAAACTACCTATCTACCAAACTACCTATCTACCTATCTACCTATCTACCTATCTACCTATCTAGCTATCTATTTATCTAGCTATCTAGCTATATAGCTATCTAGCTATATAGCTATCTAGCTATCTAGCTATCTCGCTATCCAGCTATCTACCTATCTATCTACTTATCTAGCTATCTAGCTATCTAGCTATCTAGCTATCTACCTATCTATCTTACGTATCTGATCTATCTGATAATCTATCTAATCTATCTAATCTATCTAATCTATCTAATCTATCTAATCTATCTAATCTATCTAATCTATCTAATCATCTAATCTATCTAATCAGTTTTTCTATCTAACCTATCTATCTAATCTATCTAACCTAATCTAATCTAATCTAATGTAATAAAATCTAATCTAATCTAATCCAATCAACAAATTTATCAATCAATCTATCTATCAATCAATCAATCCAATCTATCTAACCTATCTAATCTATCTTATTTATCTTATCTATCTCATCTATCTGATCTATCTTATCTATCTTATCTATCTGATCTATCTGATCTATTTGATCTATCTGATCTATCTGATCTATCTGATCTATCTGATCTATCTGATCTATCTGATCTATCTAATCTATCTAATCTATCTAATCTATCTAATCTATCTTATCTACCTTATCTATTCAATCTATCTTATCTATCTTATCTATCTTATCTATCTCATCTATTTAATCTATCTAATCTATCTAATCTATCTAATCTATCTAATCTAGCTAAACTATCTAACCTATCTCATCTATCTTATCTATCCAATCGATCTAACCTATCTAATCTATCTAATCTATCTGTCTATCTGTCTATCTGTCTATTTCTCTATCTGTCTATCTGTCTATCTCTCTATCTGTCTATCTCTCTATCTCTCCATTTCTTTATCCATCGATCTATCTATCTATCTACCTATCTATCCATCGATCTATCTATCAAGTCAAGTCAAATCAAATCAAATCAAAATCTAATCTAATCTATCTATACTTACACATATATCATATATCAGACATATACATATTACAGCTATCAAACATACGCATGTAGAGGGCTGATCGCTTGCCTAAACATTCTCAAAGCAGGAATATCCCCAGTATTATTGGTTGCCATCCTATATCCAAATAGGAACAATTCAGAATTGTGGATTTGCGGCCATTTCAGGTAGATACCTACAACTTACAATGTCTACGTAAGGACTACGTATGGGATAGGAAAGGGCTATGTAAGGGCTATGTAATGTAAGGACATGTAAGAACCAGGCAGTGATATACCGATATAGCCCAAAAAAATTGGTTATATGGTACACTGACTCCAGTTTGGGTCCCCGACGTAGCCATTCAAAGTTTCCATGGGGAGCCAAGGGCTACGAATTAATTTTCGAAGCTACATGATAGAATCACTGTTTTTTTCATCTAAAGAATCCAAACCCAAATCAACCCATCTATTATATATTATATATGTTATATATATATATATTATGATATATATATGTAATATATTATTATTATTATTTATTATATATAGTATAATATATAATATATAATATATAATATATAATATATAATATATAATATATAATATAGTACATTATTTAGTATATACCACATATTATGAATTATAATCTATATATTACATATTATATATGATGTGTTATATATTATGTAATATTTATAATGTATTATATGTAAATATCTAATTATATATTATATTATATTCAATATATAGTATATAATATGTAATACATAGTATGTAATATATTATATATTATATTTCATATATTATATTTCATATATTATATATTAAATTTTATAGAATATAGATTATAATACATTATAAAATTATATATTCTATATTATATATAATATACTATGTATTATATATTGTATATTCTGTATTCCATGAAATTAAATTACATTATATATATATATTAAAATTTATTTCATTCTGTTCGTTCATGTTATATTATGTTATATTATATTTCATTATTATATTATATAATACATATCATATTATACTCCCTTTCAATATTGAATTACATTATATCATATTACATTATGTTCTATCATATTATCCTATATTATACTACATTGTATTGTATTAAATCATTAATATATACTATATAAATACTATATGATACTATATCATGGTATTTTATACTAGTTTATATTATATTATATTATATTATGTTATTACATTAGTGCTGAATAGCGATTGCTGAACATCTTCCATATTGGTTAGGTCAACCAATTTTGGACGGCTTCGCAGCTGAGCGCCTACTTGGACGTTTCGCGCATCAACTGAGTGAGAAAAACAGTGGTTGTTGACCACTATTTTGCGGTCAATGTACAACCCATGTATCCATGTACGCATCCATACGTAGATACATAGATACATACAGACATAGATACATAGATACCTAGGGCTCTAGATACCTAGATACATCGATTACCCCTCTAGAAGTCTGAAACTAATTGAGTTATCTATCGATTTTCATCCCAGCTAGTAAGTGGTTTATCATCCATATAGAACCCCTATCCCATAAAATCCAGTGGGGATATTCCATGAATCTGGGGGTATAACCCATTTACGATGTATGGGGCCCGCACCGCCAATGTTCCATAGTTACGTCACGTCATTTAGATTCATAGAGCCCTAGATACCATCAGATACCAGCAGATCACCCTTCCATAAACTATTAAATTATACCATTATGTTACATGTTATATGCTACCATCATGGAACTATATATATATATATTATTTCCATATTCTATACCATTATGTTTCCATGAAAATTTGACCTCGACATCGCAGGTCAAACTCAGTCCGGCCACGAAGCCACAGTCACCACCCACACCGCCGCCGCCGCCGGTGAAGGAGAATCCAAGGGAACCCGGGGAACTCCCAAAGCCACAGTCAGCGATTCCGGGAGGGTTTGCCGATTTTTCGGATCTTTCGGATTTCACATGGTATGCATATCCACCAGAAGCGAGGAATCTATCAGGACATTTTTTGGATTTTCGTGGGATATTTAAACATATTTGAACCAGATCCCAAACACGCAGTTCTCTGTTTCCTTATTCCTGATGATATTGCTTTCACTTTCTTTGATTTTTGTCAATGTAGGTCTTACCGGGGGGTAGCATATATTTGTATATGTATTTACGTGTGTACATATGCATATATATATACATATGTATATTTTAGAGCAGAATTTCCTGTTAAGCCAGGAATGGCTTGTCCATTGGAGATTCTTGCTTTGCCATCAAGCAGCATGGCAGGAGCACAAGAAACCGGTGCAGGAGCAAAGACCAGCCGTGCAGGAGGAAAAACCACCGGTGCAGCCGGTGCAGGAACAAAGGTCCCCTTTGAGGCAAAAGGGGCCATCGGTGCAAGAGCACAAGCTTGAATTGCCTGAGACCAAGGCACGTCAAGGGCATGAGGTGAATATGTTGTGGATTTCAACGGGGAGATGGGAATGGTTCATCAGTTCATGCTGCCAAAATGGCTGGTAAACGAATTGTACATGTCACTGGCGATTTATGGGCATAAATTTCGATGGTTTAGTTCGTTCAACTAACGAGCCCACATGACCAACTGTTGGTTCCCCAATAGGTACCCTTTCGAGCCATGTTCATCAAACAGTCAGTGTAGCACAGATTTTTGATCGGCCAGTGGAAGGGAACACCTCAAGATTTTCGTTTGATTCAACTTCGATACATCAGAAAAAACATGATATATATATATATATATATTATAATCATATATATATATATGTATATGCATATGCATATAATAGACATATATATATATATTGATAAGTTCAAGCACTCCAGGTGCCTCCAAATGCGTTTTAGAGAGAAATTTGAGGCGCAGAATGTTTACCTTGGCCACTACTTTGGGGTTCAGTAAGGGTGGTGATAACCCGGTCCAGAGCTCAGAGAGTTATAGTTTCCTACCTTCATCTTCCATAACATTTGGGTAAATTATAACGACCTCACTGTTCTCCCTCACTGGAATCATGCTTAGTAAGGGGAATCATCCCCAAATGGCCGAACTATTCAGGTTAGTGAAATATTATAATTTACCCAGATAAAATTTGTTGATGATCTTCTTGTTGTTGAGTATGGTATGGGTCAAACCTACTACCCTGTTCCCGTTCCCAAAGAAATACTCAAAACCACCAGCCTTTTTGTGGGTACACAATGCTACGTTCACTGACTTGAAACACACCAAACTTCCACCTAATGTGGGCCCCAGAGTCAAAGTTGGATTGCAACCCCAACTAACTAGAGCTGTAAGTATCACAAACCCAACAGTTAGTCCCTTTTTTTCAAGCACCTTAGCCCACTACAGCGGCCCCAAATTCCATAAGATTCCAGGATTCCGTGATTGATGATCCTTCACCCGTGAGACCCCCAATGATTGGTTGCTTCGCTGCTCAGAACAAGAGGGGGAAAGCCTGGGCGGACATACCACCCGAGGCCGTGATGAATTTCGCCCGGCATCATGGGGGATGTTGAATCAACATCTATGTATCACGGTTAACCCTGGTTAGTAATGGTTAATAATAGTTGATATAACCATGGTTAGTAATGGTTGATAATTTAGTTAACCAAAGGAAGTTTAGAAGTCTATACATCCGTTTGACGGAGCTTTGAAAGTCACAGCAATCACGAAAGCTTCGTTTTCGCATCTTCAACTTTCAGTTTTTGAGGCAGGTCTGGCACGAAAGCGTCGTTTCCACATCTTCAACATTCAGTTTTTGCGGGCTGTGGAGGGAGGTCTGGCACGAAAGCGTCGTTTTCACAGCTTCAACTTTCACTTTGAGGAAAGTCCCGCGCGAAAACTTCGTTTTCACATCTTCAACTTTCAATTTTTTTGAGGGAGGTCTGGCTCGAAAGCTTTGTTTCACAGTGTCAACTTTTCACTTTTTGAGAACAGTCTCGCGCGAAATGCAAATTTGAGAGATAGTGGATACGCGAAATAGTTTGTTTCGCAGCACAGTGCCTCGAAAGATGGAGGGGGCAGGTCTGCCACGGCGGACGGTCTCGGCGGTGGATCATTCTCGAATTGTCCCCGCATTGGAACTGACGGTCCAGGTGTCGTTTTGACAACTTCAACCTTCAGTTTTGAAGGGACGTCTCGCACGAAAGCTTCCTTTTCACAGCTTCAAATGTTTATTTTTTGAAGGAGGTCTTGCACGAAACGGTGGTTTTCACTGCGTCAACTTTCACTTTTTGAGGAAAGTTTCGTGCGAAATGCGTTTTGAAAGATAGCGAATGCGTGGCATGTTGCGTTTTGCAGCGCAAAACGTGCCTCGGAAAATGGAGGGAAGGTCTGCCGCGCGGCAGGTCCCGGACAGTCTTTGCTCCGGGGAATCATTCTGGAATCGGCCCCACAATGGAACTGACGGTTCAGGCGTCATTTTGACAACTTCAAATTTCAGTTTTTGTGGGATGTCTCGCACGAAGCGTTGTTTTCACATCTTCAACTTTCAGCTTTGGAGGGAAATCCCACACGAAAGCGTCATTTTCACATCTTCAACTTTCACTTTTTGAGGGAAGTCTCACAAGTTGAAGCTGCGGTGCACGCACGACAAGGTTGCAGCAATGAGTTTTTGCTGATTTTTCTTGTTTGTGGCGGCTGTCATTTTCCTTGTGAAATTTCCTTTCAGAAAGCGTACTTTTTTGGGTTTTGGTGCCGAGCTCCGGTTTTGGAGCAGGTTTTGGGCCAGAAAAGCTGACAAGAGCTGAGATCAGCTGAGAAGAGCTGACAAGAGCTTAGAGAATGTCAGAAGAGGAGAGAAGAGATAAGAAGACATAAGATGAGCTGCGAGGAGCTGAGAAGAGTTGAGAAAAGTTGAGAAGAGCTGAGAAACTTAAGAAGAGCTGAGATACGCTGAGGGTGAGGTGAGATGGGATGAGTTGAGGCGACCTGACGTGAGAAGAGCGGTGAAGAGCTGAGAAGACAGAGGAGCTGAGTTGAGACAAGCTGCGTAGAATCGGTGTAGAATGGAGAAGCTGAGAAGAGCTGAAAAGAGAAGAGTTCAGATGATATGTGAAGAGATGAGAACAGTTGTGATCAGCTGAGAGGGGGTGAGGAAAGGAGAGAAGACATGAGATGAGATGAGATAACGCTGAGAAGACACGACGTGGAATGACATGAGATGAGATGGGATGACGCAGACTCCACTAACAATGGGACGCAATATGATGCAATGAACAAATCCAAGAGAAACTTCGATGCGATGAGATCAGGTGACATGAGAAAGACCCAACCTTGAAAGAGATGATGGCACCGGAACAGCAAGTCAAAAAAATTGTTGATGCGAAACAAAACACTCCTGCCCACACCCTATAGGCACGGTCTTCGTTCCGCTCTAGGCGTTTCGAATTTGAAACTTCCGCCCCCGGCTTGCCCGGGTACTACTTGTATTGTTTTTACATCATTGCAATTATTGTTATTATTATTGATAGTGGTTAGTAGTGGTTATTTATAGTTGATAGTGGTGAACATCGGATGATGGTGATATGATATAATGATATAATTGTATAATGACATCCAATAGGATGTTCGATATCAGCAGCTAGATATGGAACATTTTTTCCGAGAGATGGATGGATGGATTTCAAAAGCGGAACTTGGGATTTGACCAAGAAACGCAGGGATTTCACATGTCACAATTGGGGATTTGAGCAACAAGAAATGGGAGGTCTATACAGTCTATCCCGAAAGTGCAATTTTGATGGAGAAGATGATCATGAACCAAAAAGAATTTGGGCCACCTTGTTTTAGAGAACCCAAATTATAGTCGTAAATGCGCATTTTTTTCAGCCATCGAAACCAAGCCCACAGTGGATACATCAAATCCATTGTTTTTGCCATACAAAATGCCTTGGTATTTTGGTTCTTACTGTCAACATGGCCAGTTGGGATTCATCATATCACCGGTGGTTTCACATAGAAATCACCATAAACAATTTTTTTGACCCCGAATGCTGAGCACATGAGTTGCCACAACGCTGGTGACCCCGAAAGGACCTTCAACTCGACATAGATATCACTGGAATATGGGAAGGTAGACCCTTCAGTCTCGGGCTAGTTTTTTTGTAGTGCCAAATATGGATTCCTACCTTCCTGAAAACCGTTTTGTCTGAAAATGGGGTACCCCATATTCCAATGGATTATTATTATTTTCCCATTATATATATATAACTGGTTGTTTGTGGGTATCCTCTATTTTCAGACAAATCCACATGGAAAACGTGGGTTTTCCATATCGATGCTAGACTTGAGGGGTGTAGGCCAATTTTTCGTTCAACATCCCATTTTTAAACCAGGTACTTGCCAAAACATTATTACTTAATGACATTCTCAATTTTCCCAGATTAAATCATAGTTGGTCAAATCATACTTGGTGAAATCAGAGTTGCTTAAATCATACCCTCTGATTATTTAACATAGTTATCGAAAAAATCCTGTAGAAATAGATGATTTATGATGATTTACCTAAGATGGTGATTTTCCAGTTCTCTATTTAACAAATAGCCAGGGAGTATTTGATTCAGCCATTGGCAGGGCACGCCTCCAAGCTCGCCGCCGACAGCGGGCTTAGTCCTCACGGTGGGCCTTAAAAAAGGGGGGTTCTGACGGGGAGTTTGGAGCAGCACGCAGCAACTAGGGCTTATGGTGATACTATAGGGTTTCTAACTGGTTTATAAACAAGATTGCTAAGCAACAACTAGGGCTTATGATGATACGATAGGGTTTCTAACTTGTTCATAAGCAATATAACTAAGCAACAACTAGGGTTTATGGTGATACGATAGCGTTTCTAAGTGGTTATTTATATGATTGTCACTATACTTAGATGGGCTTAATACCATAGAGATTCCGCAATTCTGCCCAGAGCTGACCAACCCTGTATCAAAGCCATTGACATATGGTGAAACCATGTAAAAACTGACGGAAATCTAGGGGGGGAAATGATGCGTAGATAGTGGATTTGTCATGTCTGTTTGATAATTAACAGTAGTCTGACCAAAATTCAAAGTCAAACATGTGAGCAAAGAATTTAATCGTTGGTGAATGGGGATATACTGGGTGTAGTTCATGGGATGTAATGGGATGTAGAACTTATTATGCAACCAACAAACATCAGATACTATAAGGCATAGGGTTCAAACAAATATTAGGATCAAAACATACTATCAGGATCCCACACAAATATTCCCAGAAAGGAATGAAAGAGGTAAGAAAGGGAAGGAGAAAAAGAGGAAAGGAAGAAGCAAAGGAAGGAATGAAGGCAGGAAGGCTGAAAACAGTATGCCCTCATTTTGGGCTTCGAGCTCCAGAACGCCGCATATACCATGCCAAATAGAGGTTTCCAATCCATGGGGGTACCCCTAAATCTTCCATTTGTAGATGGATTTTCCATGAAGACCATCCGAAGGGTTCCATTGGAGATATTTCCATAGTCAAAAAGGACCCTAGTTGGGGGGTTCCATATCCCAACTTAGGGGGTTAAACTCCTATGGTTATGACAAAAAAATCTTAACTGCACCCCCAACCCCCCAAGTAATGTGCCCTGCCAGGTGAAAAACGAAGAAGCTTCCGAAGTGCTGAGTCCGCACACGTCGTTCCACCCAGCTTCACGGGGCCATGCCCTTTTTTTTTGAACACCTCCCAAAAACCCTGGTTTAGTGATTTCATCTAGAAGATTCTAGTGATAGTTCGGCTCATCATTGCTGACTACTATGGTTGAACATGTTGGACTTGGGGTAAAACCCGGCAAAAATGCTTTGATTGAAACTCCCAGCGAAATTCGCAGGGCTTGGGGACCAGCAGTGCTCGATCAAGTGCAAAGGCCAGAAGAAAACCATAGGAACACGTCAAATCACAGGCGTCATCTTGGTCAAATGCCAGCTATTGTTGCTTGGAACCAGAGTTTTTACCCTCTGGTAAACTAACAAAAAGCTATTGAACATGGCCATTTATAGTGGATTTTCCCATTAAAAATGGTGATGTTCCATAGCTATGTAACAGTTTACCAGAGTTTTTAGTATCCATGGGTGAAATCTGCAAGGGTTTGCTGAATCCCCTCATCCCTCCACCGGGGGTGAAATCCCAATCGTTGAGGCCGGACAACGGCGAGGAGAAGCTTGAGGTGTGCCGCGAAGATCAGCAATCCATGGATTGCTGGGCTTTGTCTGAAAATGGGGTACCCCCAAACTCCCCCAGATCTGATGGATTATGATATCCATAGATGTCCCAAATTCCCATTGGTTGGCTTGATTCATAGAGGGGTTCGTTTACCCCTCTATTTTTACCAAAAGTACATTATTGATATCAATGATATCATTTTCCCTATTAAAATCATTAAAAAAAAGAGGTATGCAACCATTTTGAGACCCAGATCAAGAATTTGAGCCATAGGAGTTTGCCATGGTTTGCTGGCCTGGAGATGGGATAGCTGGGAATGGCAGTTCTGATGGGGAATATCGATGACCAGGGTTTTTGTGGTACCCTATTGGTCAGACGAACCCATATGGAGGTTTCCTACAATAGGGGTACCCCCAAATCATCCATTTTATTTGTTATTGTTATTATTATTATCATCCCGAAACCTCCATATTATATATTTATTTTTCTCTCTAGACAGGATTTGCAAGGAAGATGTGTGCTACGATATCTTTACGGGCATGTTTTAACGGCATACATATACTGGGATGATGATGATGATGATGATGATGACGACGATGATGCAGTTTTGTATCAACCGCAACATTGCCCACCGTTAGTGTGTGGAGGCAATGTCTAAGGTGACTGATGGATTGATTGACTCAACTGATTGATTGTTTGATCCTGCAGTTGGAAATACCTCATGGGGCAACTCGTTGCAAATAGCAACCTTCCAACATCTTCCAACATCCAACAAAAAGCAGACAAGGACTATATGATACTATATGTATTATATGTATCAGATCATGATATCATATCCCAATTTTGGAATGGTGAAGTTTTCCATGACCAAAAATCGGGGTCATGGATCTTTCCCACATTCTGATCGCTGTCAAGGACACAGGCTTTGAAGTCCTGTCTGGAAAGAAACGACCCAAAGTACAACCGGAGGCGGGTCCAACGGTCCAACATGGTCCAACTGCCCCGTTTTTGATGCAAGGTCAATATATGTCAATGGCTACACTCATGGAACCCCAAACATTTCTTGGAAGATGATGCACCCAGTGGATGAAGCGATTTGTGGGTGCAATGTTCAGTTTAGGGTTTTGTAAAAATACATGTAAGAGATATAACATCCGGCAAAGATATCGCTTTGTCTGAAAATTGTCGGGGAAAACCCATTGGCTAAGAAAATTGAGGTCTCTCTATTTGCAGGAACTGGCCAGAACTTGGGCAAAAATACCATATTTTCAGACACGCCCAACTATCATGTAGTTGGTGAATCATAAATATCCCATCCATATCTCCATTTTTCGGTTGGTTTTGTACCCCAATGATCCCGATTCTGGTGGGAGAAATCTCTGAAATTGCGAAAAACGCATCCTGTGGGATGGTTGCGAAATCCTGCACCGGTTTTCAGATTCCTATTGGCAACATAATTCAACACGGGGACTATCATCGGATTATAGCTGGGATATGGACACGACACAACCAACTGGTGCAGGATTTCGCAGCCGTCCACGGATGAAGCGATTTGATCATGATTGTTTTCATCTTCACCAGTGGGGGAATTATTTTTTTGCGATGACAAACAAACTGTCACAATTAGGTAATTCGAAAAACTGTGGTTCATATGTATTATGTGCTGATGACTCAGAGAAACTCGTTACTCGTTTTATAGTTACTCTTACAGAATGTAAACACATGATACTTATGACATGTTAGGAACATATTTTCTGAATGACAAACTATGGTATCTGGTTGGTGGTTTGGAACATTTGGATTATTTTTCCATATATTGGGAATAATAATATCAACTGAGGGGTAGGTCAACCACCAACCAGGAATAAATTAATCAGACTTGATCTAAGTCCTCTACCGTATCAGATTTTCGTCGAGCCGTGCTCAGGTTGTGACTGGTCCAGGCGGAGCTGGGAGCTGGCCATGTGGTCTATAGACTATTTGAAAAGGAAATTGAGTAGAAAACATGTCAAAACATTAGAACAGAATTATATATAGCTAGTTATATAGCTTACATTTATGGAAATTATCCAAGTCATTGATTTCCATTTTTCTAGAAGATAATTATATCTATATATATATATATATGTATATATATATCATATGTAATGATCGAACGTCATTTCCTGGATGTTTTGAACGATGCGCCAGGCGGGCGTCCGAAAGCACAGGAGGCTCGGCTTTTGTCAATTCCCATCGGTCAAAACCCAAATGGTTGGCCAAATTTAAAAAATTCTCCGCTGCACAATTTAAATCGTTTAGGGGTCGAAGACCTGCAAGAATTTCCATCTCTCGTCCAGGGGCTCACCAGATGCCTTTCAGACTGTGATGGGGATCACTTAAAAAGGCATCTTTTTGGAGGTTAGAAAATCAAATCTCCATAGTGACAATATCAATATCATTGACCTATGATACTCAACATGACTAGTAGTAATCCCTAGGTTCTACTGCCCGCTACCCAACAATATTCCCTACTTGGGGGTGCAGGCCAGAGGTTACTTTTATGGCTTTTTGACTCTGGTTATCAACCTTTAGACAAGTTGTGATATGGGCCGCTATATATATACCCTCTGGTTATTTAACATAGCGACCTGGTATAGATGGCCCATAGAAATAGATGCTTTACCTATTAAACATGATTTAACCAGATGGTAATTTTATATGTAACCATAAAAGTGATTTATCCAGATGGTAATTTAACCAGATATTAAACATGATTTAACCATAACCAGATGGTTATCAAGTTATCAACTTAAACCTGTAACTTCCAAGATCTTCCACGTTTTCGACGTCCCAGGGAAATGGCCAAGTGGCCGCTTCGGAGCCAGTGGCGCCAGAGGTTCCGGTCTCGCCGGTCCCGGTCTCGCCACAAGGTGCGGAGATTTCATGGCCAAAAAAGATGACAACATGAAGCCTAAGTTGGTAAACAGAACTATGGCATTCATAAACACTATGGTACTCATAACACTATGGTGTTTATACTATATGCCATATATTTATATCTATCGACGTATTCATGGGGTGAATCTACAGCAACGTATCAACCATCCCAGGGATTTCACCGAAATTGGGACTTGATTTTGTACAGGACGTGGGTTCCGTTGCCTCCCGTTGCCTGAAAAAAGTGGCTAAGTAAAAACTATGGTTTTATGGTAGATATAACTATATTTAGATATATTTAGTATTCATGGAGATGATTTCATGGTTTTTTCAAGCAACTTATAACGATGTGTTTCAAAGACATCAGGATCAACGGGGGAATTCATCAGGATCAAGCGGATCAACGGGGGACTTTTGCAGGTACCACTTTGAGCCCCAAGGCTGGGGGAATCTGGCGCTGGGAATTTCGTTTCTTTGATGGGAGATCTCCAGGATCCAACAGAAGGAGGTACGTAAACGTACCAGATTTTTGGCCATATGTGGGGATATTCCCTGAAATTTTGGCCTAACAAATAGGCCTTATATGGCCATTGATTTGACAACTTGTTTTTTCTCCAGTAAACTAACTGCCATGGAAACCATGGAAGCCATGGCCCGTTGAACCATTTAGTTCGATGATAACCACCTTAAACAAACATTTCTCTATAGCTACGTCAAATGACCACAGGGTATGCAGGGGGAAATTGCAAAGAAGAGCCAGCGAGCCAGCATTCTCATGGTCATTGCGATCATATGCCATCATTATATGTGCCATGATGTCCATATAACTTATAATATATGGATCATACACCCGGGTCAGCTGGGGGTCAGTAATCCACCAGGTCAGGGACAGAAGAAAATGTGGATCTCAAGCGACAACCGTCCCTAAGAACCCTGGACAAAGTCAGTAGATAACTGGTTGGTGGTGACTGGAACATCTATTTTTTCCTGGTTAATCTATGGTTAATCTATGGTTCATAATGGTTAATAAGTGGAATAACAATATATATATATATCTGGTTGGTGGTTTGGAACCATGGATTTTCCATTTTTTGTCATGTGTCATGGTACACAACAACAGCTAAGTTATAAGACACCACCCCAATTTTTTCAGAGCAACCATTCTTTTTTGAAAAAAAAACATGCCTCAAAGTGTGAAAACGCAGATCAACATTTGTGAAGTCTGGAAGTACCCTGCAGATAACCGCGGTTTGCTATGGAAAATGGTCCATTTCATTCGATGATTTAACTGTTGATGGTGGTTTCCCACAGCACATTCTGAGTTTGTAAGAGGGTAGGATGTTCAGCTGACTTTCTATAAGTGATACGGTGGATGGAAGAAATCCTGCACCAGTTGATAGGTGGCTTTTTCCATTATTTATGGGGTTTCAACCATCCAAGGTGATGCAGGATTTCTTCCATCCACAGTATGATAGTGATATGCAAATAGCTTGCTATGATGTAGCATCCCTAAACTAACATAGACCCTTAGATAAAGATCCAAAGTAAAGTGACCAGGCACCCGCGGCTGCACCATCGAGCCTCTCGTGCGGGATCCCGCCATGTGATTTACACTACGAAACCATTGTTCTTTTTCCTTGGTAACCTTAAGTTTAGTAATTAGTGAATGAGAGTTTAGTGATTAAACAATGACACTCAATTAGAAAACTAAGATGTGTTTTGTTTGGTACGGATTTTCAGAAAACCTACTGCAGTCTTTTGATTTTTGGGCTACGGAACTGGGGAGCAGTGAAGTGCTCTCCCCGAAATCCGGCTGGATCTATGGCTGATTTACAACCGGAAAACAAAGTGGTGTGTATACATTTTTACATACACACATACCTATATTAGATGATCTATATTAGATGATCTCTATTAGATGTGTATATAATATGGCTGATCTATATTAGATGATCTCTCTCTCTCTCTCTTTCTTTAATCTTTGTATGTATGTATGTATCTATAAATATTATATATGCACAGTATATAATATACATGGTAAATACATGGTAAATATGTTTGACTCTACAAATCCTGCCAGATTCCATGTAACTTCACATTCCATGACAGATTTCCTGCAAAGCACATTGTTCCCTAGCTGCTATTACATTCAGGAATTGCCTACACGTTGTTTCAAAAACACAGCATCTAACAGCAATGGGTTCCTCTCAAGCTCCCACGCCTCAGCCGTAGGCGGCCAACTGAGGCCGTTGGAAAAGGAAATTTTAAGATTGGAAAAGAAACAGCGAGAGGCGGGTTTGGCTCAAGTTCGCCACAGTGGTGAGGAAAGCACCAGGTATTGGATGATCATGTATATACATATACAATCATATACATATACATATATATACATATATATACATACATATGCTTGCGCATCATTGTACTGTATATACACATGTATGTACATGATAACGGTATGCGGATCCCTATCTTGGTACCTGCGGGATGGTTTTACCCTTCAAACTCATGGCACCTCGGATTTTCACCCACATTTCCTGGAGTGAGCCACCAAGTATAACTGGTTGGTGGTGACTGGAACATGGTTTTTTAATGGGATATAATAGTGTTTCTTAATGGGATATAATGGGATATAATAATCAATAATGGAACCATGGAATTTGGATTGACTTTCCATGAAAAGTTGGGAGATCTTTATCATCCCAACTGACGAGTTGTCCATGATTTTTCAGAGGGGTGGCGAAAAACCATCAACCAGATAGGTTAATCATGGTTAATCATGGTTAATCATCGTTAATATAGGCTAATAACTCCAATAACCATGGTTGATGAGTTGATTTTTAACAAAAAACACCCTCGGGTGGGTGACCTTGGAGGTGGAAAAGCTGAAGCAGCGACAAGCAGATGGCGAGGAGCAGTTCGGATGACATGTTCACTTGTTCACCACTCAAAAACATCAACATTTAGGGCCTTTAGGGGGATTTCACATGATTTATCAACATCTGGGGGATTTCACATGATTTAACCATAATATTTCACATGATTTATCAACATTTAGGGGATTTCACATGATTTAACCATATTTAACCATTGATTTCACTCATTTCACCACTCTTTCGCTTCGCTGAGTGAAAAAAACCCATGGTGAAGTCTCCACGGTGATGTCACGATGGATGTCCTCCCATTGCTTGACTGCTCAGGGTCGCGTCGGGAACAGACCGGTAAGGTCCCCTGAAGACCCAATCGGCCAATAGATCAATCATGATTCCAATGATGGATGATCCAACAGCAGTCAAAAGCCCACAGAAATCAGCCTAAAATTGGATGGCTGGTGAATTCAGAATTCATCGCTTTTCCTGGATATTTATCTTAGTTTTCTGCACCTCGAAGGAGACGAACTCATCAGGCATCAACGACATGAAACAACTGTTGTATTTGGTGGTTTCAAACATCCATAGTTTTCCTATCAGAGATTACCCGGCCTGGTAAACGTTTGCGTAAGTATGGAAAATCACGATGTTTCATGGGTAAATCCAGTATTTCCATGGCCATTTTCAATAGCTATGTTAGTTTACCAGAGGCTAAATCCCATTAAATCACCATAAATCACCATAAATCACCATTAAATCCCCATTTACCAGAGGGTATCATTAAAAAAAAGTAGTGCCGTTTGCGTTGTTTGACGCAGGAATTGGATCATCTCCAGCTCAAGAAGCTTTCATGTAAAGATGAGATGATGCATCTTGGCACGGGGAGTGCTTCTTGAGATTGCGGCTACTTTGCGGAAATACCATATATATATAGAAATACCATGTATGTATGTATATATATATATTATAAGGAAATACCATATATATATATATAGAAATACCACATATATATATATAGAAATACCATATATATATATATGTATATTATCAAGCCATATTCAATGAGTATTGGAACCTTCAATAGATCACTTAATTTTATATCCTCTGGCAGTGCTGGAATGGCTTTCACCCTGTGGTGATATTTTTCACGGTTAGCGAACTGGGAAATCACCATGCTATTAAGAACGGTAAATCGAAAAATATTAAATAGCTATGTTAAATAACCAGAGGGTATATATGGGTATATATGGGTATATTAATAAACATAGATTATGGTATATGAATATGTTTATAAATAAATATATATATATATATATTTATAGACATATTCATATAGATGCTCATTTGGATCGGGGATTTCCCAGCCATGTTCGATTACCGGAAGGGTATCCTTTTTGCTGAATGGGATATCCATTGGGTGTCCCAACGGCTGAATGCGGGTTAACAACGATGGCATAATCAAGTACAGTATAGTCAAGCAACAATCGATAGTTATGGGCAGTTATGGGGATGGGTTATCAAATGGACACATAGAAATCCAATTACTACAGGGTTGCTCCAGCCTATTACAGGTAAATGACAGCCACAAGGGGGGTAAATTGATCATGTTACTACATGTTACCTCGTTAAATTTAGCCAATTTACCCCCCGCCCCATGTATGTGGCGTGTTGGGAGCGACCCTCAACATCCTGGGATTCCCCCGTATGTGCCATAAACAACTACCATTCGGGGATGGTAAGCCTTCCACCCGTAAACATCATGATTTTGCGGATGGTTTATGTTGGGTTTACCACAACAAAAATCCATTGCTTATCTGCTTATCTTACAGTATAAACATGTGCCACTCGTTCACCAAAAAAAGCCGAGGGATTTCTCATTCATCACGTTTGCGACGCCATCGCCATTCCCCTGGATTCGGGTGGCTGAGGCAAAAGCTACAAGAACTAAACCTCAAGAAGGCGATGGGGTAGGCATTTGGCGAATTGAAATTTGGGAAACTGTTACCCTGTGGTTATCTAACGGTTTGCGAACTGGGAAATCACCATTTTTAATAGGTAAATTCTCATGAATCATCTATAAATGGGCCATTTTCCATAGCTATGTTAAATAACCAGAGGGTAAACAAAAACACCAGTGGATTTTGGGGTAATTATCCTGCTGTATCCTATTTTCAGACGATTGTCCAAGGCCATTGTCTAAATATGTTGGTATTTGGGATACTCTCGAGTACTCTCGAGTAATTTATATCACATAACCATGGAAAATCATCATGTTGAATAGGTAAATCAGTAATTCATCATACATCATCTATTTCTATGGGCCATGATTTCCATATCAACCCGTTAAATAGCCAGAGGGTAGGTTTGCTGTGGGAAAATTCATGGCACCGCGTAGGTTTATCCGTAATCATCCAGGCACATCCGTGTCAGCATTCGCTCAGAAATTGGCTCACGACCTGCAGCCAAAACTGCCGGATGATCGGATGTTGGTGGGCTCATCCAACTGATGTTGTTCAAATCCACGGGAGCTTCACCAAATTCTTTGGTATTTTGTTTATTTTTTGGAATCTAAAGCAATCAAAACTGTTTTTTTTGGATGGGAATAAACATCTCTAATCCATCATATTCTACTGCTTGGTGGTGTTTTTGGTGGTTTCCCAGCTGGAATTTTTGCTGTTTTCCCCCAATGGGATGATTAATAGGGGTCGATCGAGGTTTCCAAGAACTCCCCATTTCAATCAGGGGCCGAAGAAAAATTGCAGCTACCCTCTGGTAATTTAACATAGCTATGGAAAGATCCACCATTTTTCATGGGAAAATCCATGATTTCGACTGGGTCATTTTCAATAGCTATTTTGACATAACCAGAGGGTAGCTGCAATTTTTTTTCAGGCCCGTGTAAGGGAATATCCCCAGAAAATATGGCCTTTTGGGGTCCTCAATTTCGCATTGAACAACTGATGTTTGAGGATGACTGGGGATGACGTCACGTAGCCACCATTCCCAGCATTGGTTTCAAGGACAATTTGTAAAGCAATACTTGGAAGCGGAGTTCCTGTAACAAAAGTGGAGATTTTAGTAAGAGTTATTGAGGCCCCATATCCTAACTTCTGGTTATACACATGAATATATGGATATAGCAACAAACTGCAACCTCAATTGCAGCCACTTTTTGGACAGGGGCTGACAAGGGGCTGGGGGCCGGGCAGGCGCTTGAAAGGGTTGGATTGGAGGTGAACCAAGTCGAGGCCCGTGGACGTCGATCCGCCATCGAATTGTGTGGTGATAGCAACAGTGACTCAAACTCAGGAAACTTAGGTTTCAAAGTTGGTTTCACATGTCATTGATGCTCATAGTTATCACATGTACTGCTTGGTGGTGACTGGAACATGAATGGATTTTATGACTTTCCATATCTTGGGAATGGAAAATCATACCAACTGAGGAGTTGTCGTCACATTTTTCAGAGGGGTGGCTTTGAAACCACCAACCGTCATGGATGCCCTGGGATCATCGAACGAATTTTTAACCATGACACTCAGAAAAAAACGACCATGATGGGGAGCAAATCACCAAATTGGACTATTGTTTTTTTTTTTTTATATTTTTTTTATATCCCCAAAGTTGGTTGCTCTATATCTTTAACTTTGAAACAACAATGGAAACAAGAATTTCTGATGGAGCTTGGGATGATCATCAGATGCATGAGATGTGGAAAACCCATGGGGAAACCCGTTTGGAAAGTGATCTACAAGTGCTGGGTTTTCCTCAACTATGTGAAGGTTTACAGGAGGATAAATTGCATGTTTAATTGGGAAAAAGATGCTAAATCATGGGAGTTTGGGATAGTTTGGGGATGTTAATTTTGAACATAATGATAAACACCATGTTTTTTTTTTTTTTGTGGTGTACCCCATTTTCAGACAAACCCTGAGTTTTGATGCTGCTCAGAGGGTACTTTCATGTACTTTTTTCAAGCTACTTATCATGGTTTTGCAGAAACTGATGATTCAGCCCCCGCAGAGAAAGTTGTAGTTGGTGGTTAAGAATTAGTTGGTGATGCCTTCAAACGAATTGGTGGCTCAGATGCCAATGATTTTGTAATATTGAGTATTAACCATCTATCATGTAGGTCAGCAATCAACTATTGACCAATAGTTGGACGGTTCATGGTTCCTAAGTGGTGAGTAACCAATAATGGAGCGCTAATCTATATACCAGATGTTATATATATATATAGATTACTGTATATAGCCAACTGTGGCTTCATTGAGTCAAAATAAAGGCCCAAAAATAGAACTTATTCCTGTGGAACCTGCTTTTGGCTTCATCAAGCCATCTTAAAAAACCCATTGATATACTATCATGATCTATCATGTGGCTGGGAAACTCAATTTGTAGCTCCAGCGCTCACTGGGACAGATGAATCCTCCCTCTAGCGGAGCGCTCGCGCTCCCTTCCAACTGATAGTGGCTATTTGCTACGAAATCGTGGTATACTATCTACTATTTATATATATTTATATAGTCTATTCATTAGTCCTAGTTTTTAGAACTACAATTTTCACACTGGAACTAAAATGATTAAAATGATGGAACTCAAATTCCCACTGGATTTTCCATTCATTTCTCAGCTGCAACCATTAACACGGAGCGCTCGACTGAGGGCCATGGAGGCAGTCCGGAACCTTGGGATTTACCCAAGGCGCGGGCCATGGGCGATCAGCCGATCCATGGCGACCGTGGGTTGCTAAAACAAGCCCCGGTTGGTTGATGATTTTTAGATGGCATTGAATCATGGGATTTAAGCATCGAACAGATGATAACATATGGGATTAGCTCGTTGATATAGCTGATACATGTTGATCATAAACCACCCATCTGGGTAAATTTGAGCACGACCTCACTGTTCGACCGAACCCTGGTTTATCATTGTTTATTTTAGGGAAATTATCCCCAAATGGCCGAACTATTCAGGCTAGTGAAATATGATTTGCCCAGACCCATGACTGGGAATGGTAAACATAGCACCTATGGATTTATGGTGACTGGGGTATGGTTTATGACTGGGGGATAGTGTATGATACCCTCTGGTAATTTGTTACATAGCTATTGAAGCCATGGCCCATAGAAAGAGTTGATTTACCAATTAATAGCATGGTGATTTTCCAATTCACTATGTTAGTTTACCAGAGGGTAAGAATTTCTTTGAATGATTTTAGATTGCAAAGTTGTGTAAAAAAGCTATGAAGCAAAACCCAATTCAGCCATTTCTGTTAAAGTTGAGGATGGTTCATAGAACGGCTTTATGCAACGCTACGGTAGATGACATCCCAATTTACTTTTCGTGATATCCCAATCTATTGCAGGTAAAGACATATTATATTCCATTATTAGATTTGTCCATTTCTGCCATGATCACAATTTGCATTATATACTAAGTAAGTTTATATAGGTTTTCTCTACCTACCCACACAAGTAAGCACAGCCACTATAAAAAAGGCTGCCTCTACTCATGTGACGCGTGCACCTGCTGCACCTTGATAGGGACATACACATCATCTCAGGTTCTCATTGTGGGGTGGGTGGCCATAAACCATACATGCCAGATGCATCCAGATGCCATAAATCAGACTGTTGGTATCTGTTGGTTATATAATGTTAATATGCTATATATATATATAATACTCACTATATTCCCAAGAAACCCATGACATTTTCTAGATTATCCTAATATTGTTGGTTAAATCCTCCACAAATCCCATGTGTGCTGTGGTCAAAAGATGTCAAGAGATGTTTTTTTTGGGCCCTCCCTGGTCATAGCAACCCCTAAGACAAATCCCAGAATGTGGATGGAGTCCCCCACTTATAGGTTTATAAACCCCATTAGCTATAGTTAGAAGTATCAAAAACCATCGTTTACGGGGGCCTGGTTTTGTATTAAACCCTCCATTTTTTGGGCTGTACAATGTTGACTGTTGACCACTCCCCATTTTTTTGGATAGCATAATCCCTTTTATATTGGATAGTATAGTTCACTATAAGCCCTATACTTGTACTAGCTGGGGCCCCCTAGATAGCTCAGTTGGTTATAACTCCAATAACTAAGGTTTATGTTTTTTTGAAACTATAGTTAATGAAGGCTATAAGCCGACTTACATCTTGTATGAAAGCGGACTGATGGGAAGAATCATGAATATTGCTCTTTGACAACCAAAATGGAAAGCTACAACATCAACATTAATAGCTCAATGGCATTCCCATTAATGGGACGGTATTGCCATTGAGAAATTCCCATGAATAATCCCCAAGTGTCCCATAGTCCCCCAGAATTCTACGAGGTGGGCCCCCCGTAAACGAAAGCGTTCAGTTGGTGAACATATGTGAACATAACTCCCATAGGGTCTATAGTAAGTGGAACTATAGTATTCAGGGGGGCTATTAACCAACTTACAACTGGAGGCCTTCACCTTGTGTATATACATATATATATATAAATCATACATATTTGTATTTATATAAATATAAACATAAATATAAATATAAATATATATACATATGTAAACTTGGGGGTGCAGCTGCGGTTGCTCTTATTACTACATCATGCGATATCCATGGGAATTTCAGCCACAAGTTTCGATGGGGGGCACCACAAGTACCCCATTAACCCCTGATAATTGCGCACATGAAATCCCCCCTATGCCTTCAAGAAAACTAACATAGCTATTGAACATGATCCATTTAGTGGAATGATTCAACATGATTCAACTATTAAAAATGATGAATTTCCATGGTTTTTTGATGTTTTTGGTATGTTTACCAGCTATTTTATGCACATGGAGTGATGACCATCCCAGTGGCTACCGATTTTCGTCCGAGCCTGTCGTCTGTCAGGTGCCTGTGGACATGCCGCAGATCGCGCCGAGCTCCGTGCCGATGGGAAGGACCGTCCGGAGGTCTTTGGGTCGTGGTGGGTCCGGTGCGCCACCAACGAACTGGAAAATTAGCCTATTATTAATGGGTAAATCAACTATTTCGACTGGGCCATTTTCAATAGCTATGTTAAATTACTAGAGGGTAATGTATAGTAATCTGTTTTGTTGTAATGAAATGTAATCTACTTTAATGCAATGTAGTCTATTTGAATTTAATGTAATCTACTTTAATGTAATGGACTGTAATTTAGTCGTGTGATTTAGCACTGTAACTAATTTAGTAATGTAATTTAGTAACGTAATTCAATACTGTAATTTCGTAGTGTAATTTAGTACGGTACTGCACCGTACCGTTAGGGTAAATAGACATTCGATGCACAGTAATATGTTCCTAGCTCCACAGCGCTGTGATGAAATCGGAGGATCAATTTATGATGTTTAATCAATGGTACCTTCTGGTAAACATACAAAAAACTATGGACAATCACCACTTTGTAGCTGGGTAAATCCACTATTAGACTATAAATGGTCCATTTTCAATAGCTGTTTTGACATAACCAGAGGGTAGAAAGGTGCAGCACAAGAGTTGGTTTGTACATGACCAGATTCCGAAAAAACTGCGGACCTACCGATGAGGTCTGGGATTTTGCACGGCTCCCAATTTGGAGAGTTCAACGTCACTTGCAAGTGTGACTGAATATGCTTACTGTGGTAACCCCAAACAGATTCCGGACAGGTTCAACTTACCAGTGAATTTTAGGATTCGGATTTTAATTACAACTCTGTTTCTGCAACGAAACTCGAGGGTTGCGACATATCCCCATTATATCTCATTATAATTCCATTAGATCATTATAATCCCATTCCTAATTATATCCCATAGATATGCAGATATCTTTTTCAAATGGTTGGTTTAATACCCTAATTGTCCCTATGAAATTGGTGGTTGTATCACTATCGCAATCCCATTGAACCTCCGTTATCACAACTGTTGTCACTGTTTAAAGTTATATAGCAAGGTATATACCCATTCTATCCCCATTGCATCCAGTTATATTGCCAGTAGCCCAAAATTTTGATAGTTTCCAGCGGCCAGGACACCCTTGAAAGCGCCAAGGGAAGGATTCAGGCCGCACATTGAAAAGGGGGTCGCTGTGGGGAAATCCTCTTTGAGGCCTCGAGTTTTCATCGTGATAGTCACCATCCCCAGGGGGTGCCAGCAAGTAGTTTCTATTGGCATGTTATATCGCCTGTTTCGCCACACTTGTGGCTTAAACCAGAAAATGACGCTTCAATAGAATGAAAAGGGACAATCTTTGTGGGTATGGACCAAGGTGCCCTATCCTTGGTCCATAGCCATCTATTCCCAGCTAGAAAAGTCATACCCATCATACCATCTTTTCATCATGGATTCTTTGCATAGTCTACTTGGCCTGTCTAAAACAAACTCCATCTATTCCCATTTTTGGACTCCCCAGTGGTATTTTTGGGGCTTGGAACCACCATCCTGCGGTTAGGCCGTCTGGAGCAAGGCAAGATGCCGACCAAGGCTGCTTCAGTCATGTGTTTTGTTGTTCTTTTGCTGCAGAAACAATGATTTGTGGTTGTCCGAAAAAGTTGGGTTTCACCCAAGATGTGAATATGTATATGTATATATACATGTATATCCGCAATTATACATATACATGTAATTACATGTACATATTTGATCATATTTGGACTTCAATACGTGAAGCAACCATGGGGATGGCAAGCAACAATCGTGTTTTTTTTCCGTCAACATAGGACTCTACAAATCACATAGAAAAATGGGGAAGATTCAAGACACCTGGATAAAAACGGGTCAGTTCACTGACCAAACATGGTCTTGGGAGAAGACCAGCGATGGACATAGTGATAAAATATGATGAAATCCTCTGGTAAACTAACAGTTTGCTATTGAAAATGTCCATAAGAAATAGTTGATTTACCCATCAATAGCATGGTATTTCCCATAGTTTCTTGTATGTTTACCAGAGGGTAAATGATTGACAGATGGATATAGTATGACAAAACGTGATTAAATTTCATGAAACCATATTTTCAGATATATTGAGATATATTTTTCAGCCTCTAGTAATCTGACGGGCAAATGGCGTTTATCAATTTCCAGTACCTCATTGATGGCCTTCCAGGGTTTTGACCCGACAGGTGTCCGAATAAAGGGCTACAGTACCTACAGTGCCATAGTGAAATCATCCATGGGAGGAACTCCACTAGGTCAATCAACTAGATGGGTAGAAACTCATCCGAACTAGTCTTGGATGGTATCAATTTTTTTTTTTTTTTAATGGGATTATCTACGTTCCGTTCACCAGCTAAGAATTGGTCATTTTTTGCAGGGTATCTGGCTGAAAATGGCCATGTTCACATGGAAATAAACCAACCAGCGAGCTTGCGGTATACCGTATACCGTGTACCCCGCACGGCCGTGGATCCCACCTTCACGAGATCGTGTTGCCTCGGAGTTGCGTCCTTTTCGTGGTCATTTGAAAAGCATAGAATGGTTAGTTACCATGAAAATCGCATGATTCATCTATGAATGGTAAATTGATGGTAATTGATGTTTACTATTTATTATTGAATGGTCAATTACCATCTTATAAACAGTAGACCCAACATATAAACTCTTCCCACTTGAAGGTTTTTTTTTTTTAATTGGGCATATGCCCCCCCATCTCGGATGATGGTATGTGGCTCCGGGTGGTTCCTGGGACTGGCTTTACCAACTTTCTACCCTTTGGCCATTGAACAGTTTCCATATGGAAAATCGTCATTTTCAACGATAAATCATCACACTCAATGGGCCATCTGAGATCATCTACACAGCAAAACTGTAAGACATATCAAGGACTAAAGGTATTTTGTTGGGGCTTGCTATAGACTGTAACCTCTGTAAACCAACAATCTACTACCGAGAATCACCGTTTTCAAAAACGGTAATGTAAATTGCTGGAGAATCCCCAGTTCGATGATTTTCCCAGCTTTTTGAGGGATAAAATCCATGATTTTCCCATGTTTGTTTTCCCATGTTTTTCCCATCCAATATTTTCCTATGTTTTTCCCATATCCTATGTTTTTTCCCTATGTTTTTCTCATTAAATCTTCCATTTTTTTCGATGAATTGTCCACCTGGGAACCTTTTCAATGCAGGTGACTCCCAGCTGTTCGGGTACCTGGGGGACCTTTTGGTAGCAGTCACGGGAAGGCATTGAGATGTTATGTTTTTCATGTATATATATATATTAAACCATTGTTTTAGAAGATCTTCCGATTTAAACAACATTCAATCATTTTGTTTTAGTTTGATGGTGTGTATATATATATAAGAGGTATGTATAGATAGGTTTATTTTGTGTTCCATCTCCGAGAATTGCATGGCCATAGCAGTTGGTGGTTGGCATGTTGTTGGGATGGAACATCAAGCACCAGGCAGCACATGGCCAACTATCATGCATGGGTGCTCTTATGAGTAACCTTTAAGCATCTTGGAGTGCGTTGGCGACCGTTGGCTATAGCTGCTTAATGAAGTCAGGTTAATATAGGTTAATTACTGTACATCTGATTTTGGCTGATATGTGGCCATTCAGTACTCAAGGGTATTGTTTGAGGACCAAACGCCTTTCTGTCTATGGGCCACCAAACTGCTTTAATTTTGTGTAGACCCGAGATATTGTTGAATGCTGTGACATTTTGAGGATATGTTTGCTATCAGCCTATCAGCCACAGTCATTAAGAGGTTACTTTCCAAGTCATCCAGTCGCCAACGTCGGAATTCATCCAGTCGCCCGTTGGACTGTGATTTTTTTTGCTCAAGTCGCAGGGCTCAAACTTCCAAGAAATATGCAACAAATGGCCGGGCCGGCTGGGGATCCTATCAGGATCCAGAAATCCCATAGCATCTGGTTATGACGAAGAGTTCGCGAACTTTTTCAGAACGGTAAACCATCTATTTCGATTAGGGCCATCGATCGAAAAACCATGGCGAACTGTGAATGTCATAACCAGGCCGGGTAAATTCTCATTGCACACCATTAAAATCACCATTAAAATCCATTAAATCACCATAACCATCCCAGCTGGGATTGCTTTTGGCTTCACACCAGGGCCACCAGGGTCCATGTCCATGGCTCCGCTCGGCACTCAGCGCCAGCCCCTTCAGCCAGCCCCATGGTGCGAGCGGCAGACCGCTGGGAGGTGCCGGAAAGGAATGGGCGGAAACTGCTGGGAATTCCCACTTGACATTCTTTGGCAAACATGGGAATTGACCTTTGCAATTTCTGATTAGGGATATTCAACTGGTCAATCCTGTTCAACGCATTGTTGAACTGCGGAGTTTTGCGTTGATGCACCAGAGTACCGGCATCCTGAGGCATTCCGCCGCACTTGACTTCGAATTGATGTGACAAAGTCATACAAAGTCAACATCCAAAATCTCTCCACAACATTTAAACCAACATTCACCAGCCATTTTTCCAACATCTCATCCACCTTTTTCGCCCCCAAAGAGCACACCGCACCACTGAAACGCGCACCGCGTCACGTCGTCGCCGTTTGCCGCCATGTTGCGAAGTCTCGTGCTGGCGTTGGGCCTATCCCAAACGGATGCCTGCACTGTTTCCTGGTGCGGCTGGGTGGAGATAGCCTCTGGTAAACTAAGGGCCTGGAAATTGATTTGCCAGTCAGATTACTAGAGGCTTAACATATCTTAATATGGTTTCATGAAATTTAATCACTATATCCATCTGTCAATCATTTACTCTCTGGTAAACATGCAAAAAACTATGGAACATCACCATTCTATTAATGGGTAAATTAACGATTTCGACTGGGCCATGGCTTCAGTTCGCTAGGCAACAAATTACCAGAGGGTACCCTGGGCAACTTATCATGAGAATCAGCACTTCAAAGAACGGTACCATCTGCTTATGACTAACATAGCCATGGAACACATCCCGTACATAAATGGAGGTTTATAGCTGTGAAAATCATCTATTTCAATGGGCCATTTTCCATGGCTATGTTAAATAACCAGAGGGTAAATCATGGTAAATCATCATAAATCATCCGTTCTTATGTGCTACAACAGTTAAACAACCAGAGGGTAAGTGGCCATTCGTGGGATTTTGCGGGATAATAGCGACTGGACTTTCCATTGCTTGGAACCGTTTTTGGAACCATTTGGAACCTTATTCTTGTTGCTTCACCATCCATTTTTTTTCTTTGTAAAATTACCATATTTTCACCATTTTTAGTAGGTAAATCGTATAGAAAATTGCCTTTTTCGCAGCTATATGATCTTACTGGCACATTCGTATCAAATCATATATAATCATGTACCATATGACCATATGTTCATATATCTTCCATGTGTTGACACAAAAATCACATTTTTTTTGTGGCAAATACGGCCGCGCAAAAGGTCTTTGCCGTGGGGAAGAAGGCGACAAAGGCGGAGTTGCGAGCGATCCATCGCAATTGGTTGGTGGGCTTATAACTCCAATTTCGGAAATAGGAAAATGGTAATCTGACTAAGAACAAATGGGATTTCACTATGGTTTGCAGATTTTGATCGTGAGTTCCAATTTTACCATGGTTATGGTTTATGAATGTTTATGATACTTCTAACTTTTAACTAGATAGACTATAGTTAATGGTGGCCAGTCAACCCAACATGACTGGGGATACCTCCATTAATCGTTGGTGTGGAGGATACCTCCAAAAACCATAAACGGTTTACCAAGGGGACCACCTTTTGAATCTACCAAGAATAACCACGAAATAAGCAACACACATGGATATTACCATCTGGTTATGACTAACATAGCCGGCTGGAAAATTCGGTACATAAATGGAGGTTTATAGCTGGGAAAGTCATCTATTTCTATGGGCCATTTTCCATGGCTATGTTAACTAACCAGAGGGTAAATCAATAAGAATTGTGTACGACGGATTACGACCGGACACAGTTGGTCTTTGATATGTATCTATGCATTTGGAGAACTTATAGTGTGGTAAAGCCAATAATAAAACACTATATATACTGCCATTATTATCCCATTATTGGGTAATCGAACTAAGAATATGGATAGCTGGTAATGA